TTTTTTAAAACTTCCCAAGGGCAATGGAATCTCAATTTACGTGAGCGTTTTTGTTTATGTCCTTGCATATATTTTATTCTGGGCATTATTTTGCAATAAAACGAAAGATGACCAGGTTTAAATAAACATATAGATAATTCAATTTAGAGAAAGGAAGAATTGTCGAAGGAAGAATAGCCGTAAAACATTGTTGATTTTTTTTTTTAAGATGGAAGGATCTATTATTATAACATGTTTTTAGATACATTGTATTCATTTCCAGTTTTTCTACTTGAATTGTTAACCCACAGGGCGGTTGGAACGTCTTGTCACCCCTACCAAATAATAATGTGAACAATAGAACAAGTAATACAGTAATAAAAAGCACATGGATTGGATTCAGTCTATTCACTTTCATTGACGTGGTCACACATCGAGAAGGTCCGTATGATCAACATCATTTTCCTGGCTCAAAACGATGCGACGCCATGTTCAGTGTGATATTTTACAAAGCTCAGCTTTGTTGATTGTTGCAAAGGCTGCTCGGACGGCGTCCTGCAACTGATGGGTATTTTTGTGACGTACGGTGACCGTTAATAATTAAGTAGAACTCAAGACTTCATTTTTAAATAAAAAAAGTATTTAATTACAAACGCAAATTAATACTTAACAAAGGAGTAAATTTAGCCAAAGATAATTAACCATTTCAGTGAATACCTTGTTAGCGCGGCTCGGCTTAACGTCCGGTAAATCCTAAATCAAAACCCAAATCATGAGCATACAATAATTCACACTAATTCGACTGGATAGTTCCACTCAATAGTCACTCAATAATCACTCTAGTCAGTAGCCTGACACCGCTATTTATACACCTGGCGGAAAACATATATTCATAAGTCCAGAGATTCACGTTCGAATCTCAGTGTCGGTAGTTACTCATTTCCTTCCTAGATAACAGTATTCTAGTATCGTTCATGTGAAACGCTCTTCTTGATAATACCCAGCATTGAAATAGAAAATTATATTATGTAGCGGTGACAAGACTTTCGGACCACCCTGTAAATTGCATATGATCCATTTACATAATTAGGTTACAATAAGATGTGCATTTTATATGAATACTACCGTATGAAAATTGAGAAATTTTCATAAGTTCGTATTCTCTGGAGAGAAAAATTGTTGAACACGACACAGTGAACCAACTTTTTTAGCAGCCGACCTAGCAATTGATTCAATATAGTCTTTCCATTTTATGAGTCAAGACGATTAGACCAAGAACGTAAATCGAGAAGGTTAAGTTCAACGAGGTGCTGATGGAGGTTAGCATCAGCCATGCTGACGAGAGGCAGAAAGCGTTCTCTCAGATAATTAATATAGAGAAGTTTCATTTTGGAGGCGTTAAAATTAACACGCCAATCCTTTCTCGTGTTAACAACAAACTGTAGGTCATTTTTTAGTTCAGCTGCCAATTTGAGTTTATCAAACAGATCAGCATTAGGATCGAGAGAAGATTAAACGGCTGTGCCCTCAGTATGGATACCAATTTGAGAACTGGTGTCATTAGGAAGGTCATTGGTGAAAATTAAGAACAAAGTAGATCCAAGGAGAGGTACACCTGCATTAGTACAAAAGGATCTAGAAGAATGGCCGTTCAGGATGACATTCATTGTGATTTGATAAGAAAGATTGAATCAATTCCAGAAATACCATAACCTTTCAACTGGTGAAGAAGACCGGTATGCCAAACCCTGTTAAACGCTTTCGAGATCTCCAAAGGAACAGCACGAGCTTCGCCATTCTTATCTAAAGCTTCACAGAATTTTTCAGCAATAATCGTCAGTACATCAGCAGTTGACGTAGAGAAGCGAGAGCCATATTATCTGATGTGTGTTGCTTAAACAATTCGGAGTGGAGTAGAGCCTCTATGTAGGATTATTTTCCTATTGCATGTGTGTGCGCGCTCAGCAGTGAGAGTGGAATGAACAGAACCCAAATCTCGAAATAACTGTTCAACAGCTTTTATTTCTGGTTGAAAGAGAGGGCAATATAATTTTTTTGCAGGAAAAAAGCGTGGTTACTCTGTTTTGTAGAGAGAGATTTCTCTGATTTTTCGTACGGGATGAACCAGAAATCTGAGTGTAAAACCGTTAGCCGTCGTTTTCTGCGTCAAGGGTTGTGTGCAGTTTTTTTTTCCTTTGGGTAGGAGTCTTGAAGGAATATTTCTCCGTCTGTCCCCAGGTGGGGGATGAGAAATCTAAGTCAAGCCACCAGGACAGGGCCATGTCTCTTCTGCAGGAAGGTTTGAGAGTAGCCTCACAAGCTGGGCCGTGAAGGTAGAGGCCGCTGAAAAGGATAATGGAAAAAAAACCGAACTGTCAGCATTTTTATGGGTTTTGGGACTTCTGATTGTACCCTACAGAATACTTACTTTGCTGCTACTGCTGAATCGATCAAAGTAAGGAAGCCCCTGTATGCCACAACAGCCAACAATTGAGATAACTTGTATATCTAGTAGTTTACCAAAAAAAGAGGTAAAAATCTAATTGGCTAATGGTTCGAAAGGTCGGGCGGTTCAACTGAGTTCTTAAAGACTGGACTAACAGAGGAGGATTTCCCACAATTAGAAAAGCGGTAACTGGTTAATCTCTTAATTTGATTTGCTCACTGCTAAGTCTTGCAAGTGTATTCGTGTAGCGTTACAATTTTCGTACGCTTCCTTGGAGTAACACTATTTACATCGTCCGTACTGTTGTCCTCATCTTTATTGCTATATTCACGACGATTCGGTCGTTGTATGCTCTGGCCTTCTTCAGGATGTCTATATTTCTGAGATGAGATTCTGTAACTATTTACATCGTTTGGATACAGAAACTCATCTCAGATATATAGGCAGATCCTGAAGAAAGCCGGGGCATACAACGGGCAAAACTTCGCGAATATGGCAATAAAGATGGACAACAGTCCGGACAATGTAAATAGTGTAAATAGTTGAAATAACTCATCTCTGAAATATAGACATATCCTGAAGAAGGCGAGAGCGTACAACGGCCGAAACGTCGTGAATATGGCAATAAAGACGAGGACAACAGTTCGAACGATGTAAATAGTTACAGAATCACATTTCAAAAATATAGACAGACCCTGAAGAAGGCCAGAGCGTACAATGACCGAAACTTCATATGGCAATAAAGATGAGGACAACAGTCCGGACGATGTAAATAGTGTAAATAGTTACAGAACCCTATCTAAGAAATATCGACAGATCCTGAAGAAGGCGGGAGCGTATAACTACTGAAACTTCGTGAATATGGCAATAAAGATGAGGACAACAGCCCGGATGATGTAAATAGTTAAAACACCTCATCTCTGAAATATAGACATATCCTGAAGAAGGCTGGAGTGTACAACGGCCGAAACTTCGTGAATATGGCAATAAAGATGAGGACAACAGCCCGGATGATGTAAATAGTGTAAATAGTTAAAACACCTCATCTCTGAAATATAGACATATCCTGAAGAAGGCTGGAGTCTACAACGGCCGAAACTTCGGGAATATGGCAATAAAGATGAGGACAACAGCCCGGATGATGTAAATAGTTAAAACACCTCATCTCTGAAATATAGACATACCCTGAAGAAGCTGGAGTGTACAACGGCCGAAACTTCGTGAATATGGAATAAAGATGAGGACAACAGCCCGATGATGTAAATAGTGTAAATAGTTAAAATACCTCATCTCTGAAATATAGACATATCCTGAAGAAGGCTGGAGTGTACAACGGCCGAAACTTCGTGAATATGGCAATAAAGATGAGGACAACAGCCCGGATGATGTAAATAGTGTAAATAGTTAAAATACCTCATCTCTGAAATATAGACATATCCTGAAGAAGGCTGGAGTGTACAACGGCCGAAACTTCGTGAATATGGCAATAAAGATGAGGACAACAGCCCGGATGATGTAAATAGTGTAAAATAGTTAAAATACCTCATCTCTGAAATATAGACATATCCTGAAGAAGGCTGGAGGCTAAAACGGCCGAAACTTCGAATATGGCAATAAAGATGAGGACAACAGCCCGGATGATGTAAATAGTGTAAATAGTTAAAATACCTCATCTCTGAAATATAGACATATCCTGAAGAAGATGGAGGTACAACGGCCGAAACTTGGAATATGGCAATAAAGATGAGGACAACAGCCCGGATGATGTAAATAGTGTAAATAGTTAAAATACCTCATCTCTGAAATATAGACATATCCTGAAGAAGGCTGGAGTGTACAACGGCCGAAACTTCGTGAATATGGCAATAAAGATGAGGACAACAGCCCGTATGATGTAAATAGTGTAAATAGTTAAAACACCTCATCTCTGAAATATAGACATATCCTGAAGAAGGCTGGAGTGTAAAATACGGCCGAAAAACTTCGGGAATATGGCAATAAAGATAAAACAACAGCCCGTAATGATGTAAATAGTGTAAATAATTAAAACACCTCATCTCTTAAATATAGACATATCCTGAAGAAGGCTGGAGTGTACAACGGCCGAAACTTCGTGAATATGGCAATAAAGATGAGGACAACAGCCCGGATGATGTAAATAGTGTAAATAGTTAAAACACCTCATCTCTGAAATATAGACATATCCTGAAGAAGGCTGGAGTGTACAACGGCCGAAACTTCGTGAATATGGCAATAAAGATGAGGATAACAGTTCGAACGATGTAAATAGTGTAAATAGGCATAAGAGGTATAGCAAAAAGGGAAACATGTCTAAAAACTGTAAAAGGAAGTTGTGGAGAGTCATGTTTTCCAATGTCCTGGAGGAACATGAGGCAAAGAAGAAAAACGAGAAGAAAGGGTTTATAATTTTGCATCTTCCTATCTTTTAGTAACGTTTTTTTTTACTAACTCTCATAATCCCGATTCTGCCAGCCATTTGCATTAGATTGTTTGGAAGGTTAGTCGTCTCTGAAGAAATTGCTTCAATATTTGTTTTTATTTCCTTTCGTTCCCTATGGAACATTGGGCGAAAAAAACTCTCCATTTAGCAGCAATCCTGGCCTTGTTTCCTTCAGGTCAGATTTATCTCAGTCAGGTCACCTTCTGTGGTCTTCCTCCACGTCCTGAATAGTCTGTCCCTCTGTCTATGTACTCGCGTCGGCTTCCACTCCAAAGACGTCCTCACTGTCCTTGTCGACAGCATCAGCAACGCGTGACCAATAATCTGTATTTAAGAACAGTTTGGTCAAATTTCTACATGATCCATTTGTTAGTTATATCGTCTCGCCATGAGATCCCAAGTCGTCAAGCATCGTTGGTGGAAGACATTGGCCATCTGGTAGAATTTGCTTATTTTCTCTCTAGCATAGTTGATCTGAAAACAGATTTATACAACCGGAGTTGCTTTCAATAAATCACAGTAATTTCTATCAAATTTTGTTCCTATAAATAGCAATGAAATCGTGAATCTTGTTTAATTTTTCATACATTTGTCTAGCCTCTCAAGCTAAACAAAAAACGGTTTAAGGGCGAGAAGTGTATCTTTGTTGTACACACGAGTCAAATATGACTGCATTTGGGATGAGAGCCAACTGACTATGTATTTAATCAACAATAAACATAGAAGTATCTTTTGTCACTTTCCTTAATCGAATTTCTCTCTTTTTTTTTCACAATCTTACATCAATTTTCCCGTTAAATCTCAAATTGTTTTCTTTTTAAAGCACGTGAAAGGGTCTTTATTTTTTTTTTTTAAAAAGAGATCACAATTTCCATTGCTTATTCTATTTTTAAGATAAATCAATCGCTATCATTACCACAGCCGTAACAAAGAAATCAACCTGATAGAAATGGCGTCATAAAGACGTTCTTTTTATGCCTCCCTGGAAATCGATGGTTTTAATGTAAGGTTCTTAAACGCCTCGTTTTGTCGATAATTGATGTCATAAGATCTTCATCAAATTTTATGGAAGTTCACTTTTCGGGACTACTTAAGTGGTCCAATAGTATGAAAAATAAATAAATAAATAAATAAACATTAATATTCAAAACTGTCCAAAAAGAATCAAATTTCGACCAACAATAATGTATTCGGTAGAATCCTAATGTGAACTCTCCAATTAGTTTTGAATATTGCCCAAAGAGAAAGGTTTAATGACTCTTTGCTTTTCATTTTAACAATTTTTATAACTTCAAACATTATTTTTAATGCATAATCAAATATACCCAGTAAAAATAAAGAACGTTAAGGCACGTCAGTTGAAACACTGGTTTCTCTTACAGAAGAGTAACACAGGTTTGAACCCCTGTCCAAGAGCGTATTTTCTTTATTAAGTTTGTCGAGGCAGAGAGATGTAATACACACTTAAAAAATAAAAAAAATAACGGGACGTCTATTATAAACACGACTATCCACAAATAAATAAAGTAATACAAATGTCGGATTAAAAATAAAATGAATTAATTCTTCAGAAATATTTTCTCATTTTGTTCATATCTATCTATCTATCTATCTATGTATCTATCTTATTCTGTTCATATCTATTTATCTCATTCTGTTCATATCTATCTATCTATCTCATTCTGTTATCTATCTATCTATCTATCTATCTATCTATCTATCTATCTATCTATCTATCTCATTCTGTTCATATCTATCTATCTATCACACTCTGTTCATATCTATCTATCCATCTCATTCTGTTCATAACTATCTCATTCTGTTCATATCTATCTATCTATCTATCTATCTATCTATCTATCTATCTATTTCATTCTGTTCATATCTATCACATTCTGTTCATATCTATCTATCTATCTATCTATCTATCTATCTCATTCTCTTCATATCTAGCTAGCTAGCTGATTCTGTTCATATCTATCTCATTCTGATCATATATATCTATCTATCTCATTCTGTTCATATCTATCTATCTATCTATCTATCTATCTATCTATCTATCTATCTACTAAAAGTCTGTGATTGCGTGAGTGCTTGCGTGGTCCGTCCGCCCGTCCGCGCGTTAAAATTATTCTAAGTATACGAGTTGTTTATACAGTACGTATTTTTATTTTTATTTTCTTCAAACAGACATTTTTTAATCCTTCACATTCTGTTCATATCTATCTATCCCTCTCATTCTGTTCATATCTATCTAATTCTGTTCATATCTATCTATCTATCTATCTATCTATCTATCTATCTATCTATCTATCTCATTCTGTTCGTATCTATCGATCTATCTAGCTAGGTAGCTAGCTGAGTCTGTTCATATCTATCTATCTCATTCTGATCATATATATCTATGTATCTCATTCTGTTCATATCTATCTATCTGTCTGTCTATCTATCTATCTATCTATCTATCTATCTATCTATCTATCTACTAAATGTCCGTGATTGCGTGAGTGCTTGTGTGGTCCGTTCGTCCGCCCGTTAAAATTATTCTAAGTATACGAGTTGTTTATACAGTACGTACTTTTATTTTAATTTTCTTCCAACAGACATTTTTTAATCAGAATATTTTTAAGTTAAAGACAGACACGAAAAGATCCCGCTTGGCTGTTTGTTGTTTGTAAAGTAATTATTTATATTTCAGCTTTCTTTAAACAAACGACATTTTAAATATTTAAAAATATTAAGTTAATCTGATTAAAAATATTTTACGTGAATAAGATTTAAAAATACGAGTTGTTTATATGATAAGTATTTTTATTTTAGCTTTCTTCAAACATAATTTTTTTTTTATTTAAAATATTTTTAAGTTGAAGACAGACACAAAGAGATCCCGCTTTGCTGTTTTGTCCAGTTGTTTGTAGAGCAATTATTTATTTTTTTCAACTTTCTTTAAACAAACGATATTTTAAATATTTAAAAAATATCTGTCTGTCTGTCTGTCTATCTATCTATCTATCTATCTATCTATCTATTTCCTTCTGTTCATATCTATCTCATTCTGTTCATATCTATTCTATCTATCTCATTCTGTTATATCTATTATCTTCATATCTATCTCATTCTGTTCATATCTATCTATCTATCCTATCTATCTTTTATCTGTCGATCTATCGATCTATCTGTTCATATTTTAAAATTCTATTTATTTAGTCTGTTCATATCTATCTATCTATCTATCTATCTATCTATCTATCTATCTATCTATCTATCTATCTATCTATCTATCTATCTCATTCTGTTCGTATCTATCGATCTTGTTCTATCTATCTATCTATCTATCTATCTCTCTAACTAATCTATCTATCTATCTATCTATCTCATTTGCAAAAAAAAAATCTTATGAATTTGCAAACCAGACCAATGACGACACAAATGAATTTAAATATTTAAATTAATCATAATAAAATTTACTTTCATTTCTGAGAAATGTTCAAATCGACTTCAGTGCTTTAAAACCTGAAACGTCAGAGACCCAATGGGTCACGGGTAGTGTAGTAAATAAATAAAAATAGGGCGTCTATTTCAAATAAGAGGTGCTCTCTGTAATAACGTTTTCAGTATTATATTTGTTGCGTTAAGTTTCGGACAAAAACACTTGGAAAGGAATTGATCCCTTTCTGCTCTATCCAAGACGCGGAGTAAAAAAATCCGAATTCGAAATCAGATTAAGAGGGATGGACACCGCCAGATTACGAAACTAGCTTGCCCTAGACATCAATGCTGCTATGGCTACAGTACACTTTATACACTTTTGATGTATGTGTTATGAGATTGGGTGACATGACGTAACGATATATATATATATATATATATATATGAAATAACAAAAAGCTGAATGGAACCCTACCGCGTTCGATTATTTTAGGCTATTAAATCATTCAATTTTATATTGAGCACTTCATAACACAAGTATTTTAGTGTTCATTTACTTCGTAATATATATATATATATGTGTGTGTGTGTGTGTGTGTGTGTGTGTGTGTGTGTGTGTGTGTGTGTGTGTGTGTGTTTGTGTGTGTGAAAAAGTGTATATAAATGTAAATAAATATATATATGTAATATATATATATTTAATTATATATTATATGCGCGGTTTTATTAGAAAGCGCTCAATATCAGAGATAGAGCTAACATACCAAATATATATATATATATATATATATATATATATATATATATATATATGCGTGTGTTTATAGTGAAATACGTTAATTGTGAATATTTGTTCTGTTTGTCTGTATAGCAGTCTTTATATGTATTTGTGTATTATATACATATTTGTATATTATATATATATATATATATATATATATATATATATATATATATATATATATCGTTGTTGGAAGTGCTATCTGATGATCCGGCGTCCTTTTTAAAAGGACTCTGGTAAAATAAATTATTATAATGGTACCTTAAAGTGGTCTGTTTTTTCTTTTAAATATATATATATATATATATATATATATATATATATATATATATATATATATATATATATATATATATTTCAGGAACATTGTGTGTGTGTGTGTGTGTGTGTGTGTGTGTGTGTGTGTGTGTGTGTGTGTGTGTGTGTGTAGATATATCGACTGTTACAGCAAAATTGTCCAAATCGTATAAAATTTTTTTATCCAATTGTTAGATTAAGCTCTTAACCGTTGTATCTTAAAAATTATTAAAGATATCTTACTGGAATTCTCCGAGGATTTTATTGGACTCTACTTTAAATAATAAAAATGTATAATTACTGGTGTCATGATGGCTAAAAGTCTTAACAAAAGAAAAGAAAAGTGTTTTTTAGATATTAAACAGATGGTGTGATTTGTGTGATGGACTCACATAACGGTAGCTGTAACACGATTTGGACAATTTTGCTAGTACACTATATATATATATATATATATATATATATATATATATATATATATATATATATATATATATATATATTGGAAAATAAAATAGGTAAAAACAGACATACTACCTACTAACTCCTTAACATCTACAATGAGAAAGCAATTTGTGCCGAAATTAAAAAAAAACGTATGTATGAACATAAAAAGGATCGGATACACAACAATTCATCAAATGTATTAGTTATTCATAGAAATAAATTCAACCACAACTTTGATCAAAAGAATATCACACTTATTAAAAAAAAAATCTAACTTACATAGACGGAAAATTCCCGAAAGTTCTGCTTTGGAATCTTATCAAAATATAACCCTACGCCCTGAATGTTTTCAAATATCTCCTTTTTTGAAAGAATTACTTCTACAAAATACATTATAAAATTTTAAAATATCAAAAGAAAACAGTTAGATTCCTGACACACTTTTATTTAAAAAATATAATACATAAATTGATCACAAATTAAAATAATCTAACTAATACTTACATCAAAAAATTCCCAAACAACATCATTTACTCACTTTTATTTATTAGGCATTAAATTATGTCACTTAGCATCCTCCATAATTTATCTGATAAATAGCTTTCTTTTACATATAGTGATTTTTCAAGCGTAGCTTAGATGCGGCACAAGGCCGAAAGTAGGGGGTACCCAGTGAGGATCGAACTCACTACCCAGTCATAATTGTTCTAGCGAGACAAGCTTGCTAACCTTTACACCGCCTCGAGGTACGCTAGTGATTTTCCAAATAGCGTTTTGTTAAGTGGTACAAAAACCGAAAGTATGGGGCACCCAGTATTGAACGAACTCACTATTCAGTCGTAACTGCTTTAGAGAGACAAGCTTGTTAACCATTACACCACCCCGGTGTGCCTACTTTTTTTTTTTTACATATAATGTATCAGTTGGATAATCTTATTATTTCTTCAGCTTGACATTAAAATTTCAATTAAAGTTCCTTGAATTTTCAATGTTAACTTTTTTCTTTATATATAAATTATGACCGGGTATCGCGGCTAGGCTCCATTTTTCGCCCCCGTAACGTAGTTTTCCTCTGACTTTTCTCTAAATATTCTCGAATTTAGGAAGATTCGGTAATTTTGACAAGGTAAGAAAATATGAATAAAATAAAAGTCGATTGTAAATTGACTTTAGAACCCTTCTAGAATTGGGATTGGGAAGTTAAGCCCCTCCGACACAATATATTTTAAACAACTGAAAATCGTGGGGTCCAGATAAAACACCACTACAACAATACAAGGGTCGTACTTGCAGAAGGGGAGCTTAGGGAGCTAGACGACGTTCCCCAATATTTTTTTTTAAAGTGTTATTAACTATAAGGGTCTAGATAAAACCCCACTACAACAATATCAGGGCCGTACTCCCTGGAGAGGGCTAGGCCCCGACACATACGTTTAAATAAGTATTAACTATAAGAAATCATGGGTTCCAGTTCAGAAAAACCCAACTTTCTGGATGAGAGATTTAGGGGGCTAAGCCACCTTCAATATTTTTAAATAAATATTTGTTAAATAAGTATTTATTTAATTACCATACTTTATTGATTTCAAGCAAATAAAATTGATTTATCGAAGGTAAAGTTAAGTTCTTGTATCTTCGTTTCAAATTATTATTTTAATAAAAAAAAAAGTACTAAATAAATTAAGTTTTAGTTATTTCTTTGTAAAGATGAAATAACTATATTGACTCATTTTCTATTTTTAAAATAAAATATCGGGGCTTAATCTCCCACAAAATTCCCAATCCACATCGTCCCTAAATTCAATTTTCAGTCGACTTTTATTTCATAGTTTTCGAATTTTCCTATTTTTCTCAAAATTACCGAATTTTCTTGGCACCATATTTTCATGGCACTTTTTCTGGTGAACTTTCCTCATTGGCACATAGATTTTGTGAAAGGAAGTGTATTACTAGATTGGCAACAAGTTTTCGTCATTTTACAGTAGAATGGATAGATATAACCGGAAGTTCTTTGCTAACAGCTTCTTCTCTCACACGTCCCACTTATGGAACTCACTTCCGGTTTCTTGCTTCCCAGTCAACTTTGAATTTCAAAAATTTAAATTCAATGTCAATCGCTATCTTGTGCCTTTGATCTTTAAAAATGTAAATACAATGTCGATTGTTATTTTCTGTCTTATTAATTCTTGTTCTTTTATTCCCCTCTCTCCTTAATAGTAGTTTTTCTCATATTCTCTAACAGTCAGTAACCCCTTTGCGTCCTAGTGGCTTTATTGCCTTTGATCTTCAAACATTTAAATGAAATATCAATCGTTATCTTCTGTCTTCTTAATTCTTGTTCTTTTATTGTCCTCTCTCCTTAATAGTAGTTTTTCTCATATTCTCTAACACTCAGTAACCCCTTGCATCCTAGTGGCTTTATTGCCTTTGATCTTCATAAATTTAAATGCAATGTCAATCGTTATCTTCTGTCTTCTTAATTCTTGTTCTTTTATTGTCCTCTCT